AGTAGTTATAAGGTTAGGAAACCCACCTAGACCGGCGATAAGGGCTGCGTTCCTGTGAGGGCAAGTGGCGCTTCTTAGCGAGAATCGAGGGTCATTTCAGAGCAACTTATGCCGAGCCAAAAAGGCTCTAGAAAGACTTTCTAGACCTAGAAAGTTAGCTAGTTGTTACATTTATCAATGGAAACGCTGCCTTCTGTATGGGCCCGCCCACGAGAGCGCTTATAGAATATTTACTAGGATCACCCTACCATTCTTAATGGGTATGGCCTACTTGACACATTCCTAGAAGAATTTGGTGCTTAAAGCCCTATCGTTTAGTGGTTATGTGGTTGTCTTACCTCAACATTCTTGCCCATCTCCTCGGCGAATAACTTGAGCACCTGGAGATTATTAGCGATAGCTGCCAAATGAATTGCTGACAGACCATCGCGATTTCGGGCTGAGATCGACATTTCTTTTCGTCGGGCGAGAAGGCGGCAAACATCCACTCCTTAAAAAAGATTTACCTGCTGAATATCAAGTGGTCAGAGAAATGAGACTTTTTGAATCCGTCGAAGCAGAGTTCAAAGGCGTGAAGTGTCAGGACTGATAGATATCCTCGGGTGTTTTCGGGCGCAGTTTGACGAGGGGGGGGGGGCATTTTGTACTACCATTGCTTCCCTAGCTCCGGTTTACAAGTCCCACTCTGGCGAAACCTGTGAACTCTTGTGAAGCTGCGAAACAGCGCTCATTTGGCCATCATGGTAAAACCTGTCAACTCAAGAAGAGCCTAGAGATCGACACGTCGCTGGGAAGTAGCAAAAATGCAAAATGCTTCCCCCCTTCGTCATACTGCCACCTTGTTCGTGCGCTCCCTCATCGGACTGACTCAACCAGGCTTCAAAGAACACTTCTGAGGACGCTATGGACCTACGAGAAGTGGCGCTATTCCGACCACCACGCCTCCAAGCTTTTCCAGTTTCTGTGCCGAGAGGAGGAAGACACCAAATCCCTCACTATGTTTAAATCGGCGCCTACTCTATTCTCTGTATGCGTATCTGCCCCTTTTCCGCATGGATCTTTGTGGCCATTGCAGCCACACCCCGAGCTGTCCTCAGATATGCACCATCGCAGCCCACGCGTACGTCTCTGCGGCTTGATTCAGGAAAGGGAGCATTTTGATATTAACATGATGAAGAGAAGGCATACCTTGTGCGAATGGAACCCCGACAGCACACATAAGTGGAGTTAGACCACATGAATCTCTCGCATCGACAGGCAGACCCAAAGCTGGGTGAAATCTGGAAAGGATGTGACAAATATCCTTTCTGCATACAGCGCACGGAAATGACGGAGAAATGGTGTACGTAAAAACCGTGACTAAGATCAACCTCACACACTCAACGCTAGCTTTTAGATGCGCGTAGGCAAGGGCCACGGCTCTTTTGTGTATGGGCCAAAAGCCGAACACATCGTCTGTAGCAGTGACAGCATCGATGAACATCTGTGAAAATGTAAACGGATATTAGTATCGATTAAGCCTTCTACAAGCTCACTGTCCCTATGAAAATTCAGACTGAAAAGAAATCAAACAAAGGTAAGGAAGAGAAAACAAGAGAAAATAAGACGAAAAAAATTAAGGCTAGCAAAAATATCTATCGAATTTGCACTGTGAAAGACCAACCTGAAGTATTTTACCATTACCACATGCTGCTATGTGTATTGGCGTGACACCATCCTTGTCCGCGACTAGAAATGGCGCTAGGCCTTGAGGTGATTTACCGGATTGGAGAATAAATCGAACGACCTGAAAAAGTGTGATCAAAGTAAGGCACAGCACCGGAGAAGATTTGGGTAAGTACGACTACCCTCCCCCTCTCCTCTTATTCCCGTCTACCGATACGGCCTCCTCCAACATCGCCACCTCTGTCGAGCGGCTAGACGTGGACACCTTGACCAACTATCGGAAGTCGTCCCGCCAACTGGCGAGAGGGTCCGAAATCGAAAAATTGAGTACCAGAACAGTCTCGGGACAAGTGCGACCCCCAGAAAATTTCTCGATTCAGGCGTGATCCTGACCGAGGTAAAATGACAATAAAATCGTCCATGATATTGTCTTGGAAAATATGATGTATAAAAGGGTGAGCAGAAAACTTGACATGCATAAAAATTTAAAATAGCATTGATAAATGGAGGAAACTGACCTTGGCAGCGCAACATTGTGTGGCCCAGTGCAATGGCGTGGCACCACCGTTGTCAGTGTCCCACAGTGACAGACCTTTTCTAGAAAAGACGAATATTATTGCAGAGGAATCTGTGAAATTAAGGGAACATTGGGTACACCAATTGTTGGAAGCCCTTTTACCATTCTTAGAACTCCAAGCTGCCACTTCAACCGCCACACCACTGAGCTGATCCCTTTACTTGAGTTCTCA